GACCTTCCAGGCAATTTTTAGCAATTTGACTTTTTTTTTGCATAGAAAATAGGGACACACATGTCAATGTGAATTATGTTTGGCTCTTTTACTTCTTTAATTGCCACAAAGCAGGGGCCCAAACATTCAGCCAATTATTGCACAATTATAGCTATTTAAATATGTTTTAATTTGCATTTACTATACTTTCTCCCCACAGGTTGTTTGTGAGACTTTAAGTTGCTGATTTTTGCTTTGATTCAGTGAAAAAAATATCAGCGTGAGTTCAGCATGAAGCATACGGGTAGCCCCTGTGGGATGAAAAGTTATTCCAGGGCAAGAGTGCTGAGCCTACATGAAGTATGCCTTGCCCTCCAGAGCAGGCATTAGATCCTTGTCCTGTGCTCACCGGCAAAATGCTAAGGGTGTGCGTGAGTGCTCTTAGCATCCATTTCTCTCAGTTTAAGTTCAGCTTGGTGACTGATTCAGTTCAAGCAACAGTCCAGTGAAATTGTGGTGGTAGCTTACCTGTACGGCCCAGTGCAGAGCGGTTTTGAAGTCTTTATCCACTAGAGTCAGGTCTGCTCCCTTTTGCAGCAGGGTCTGTGCATGCTGTGGCCTGTTGTGGAAAGCAGCCCAATGGAGTGAAGTCATTCCCTGAAAGCCACAAACGCAGAGAGCAAATAAAGGTCATGCACAGTAATGCCCTTTGCATCTCCTGTAGCTGTAGAAAAGCTAGACTGTTCTGAAACCACTGGGGATGGACTGACTCTTTTCTCTTTGCCTCAAACTGAAATAATTAGTTGCAACTTGCTAACTAGCCATAATGGGGAATGTTTTTTAAAGTCATTGCAGATAATCAATACAAATACAAAGGCTTCTTTCATACCTGACTGTAACTGTCTTAAATGATGTGTGATCAGGGCCATGATGGCCGGGGAGGCCACCACTGCTAAGCTTGGGTCCTGTGAGAGAGGCCTGTTTCAGGGGCGTGCTTTGTCATAACACAGTATGGTGTTTAACTCAGACCTTATCTTTAATTCAAAATAAGAATTATATGCTGACTCTAATCAGCAAGCTAAAGAACTGCCCCAGTGATGTTAACAAAAGGACTCACAATATAAACGTCTAACAATTACAGTTTATATTCAGAAATCATAGAATCACAGAATCACAGAATCATTAAGGTTGGAAAGATGTCTAATATCATTGCAACCATCAACCCACCATCACCATGCCCACTGATCATGTCTCTCAGTGTCACATCTACGTGTTTCTTGAACACTTCTGGGGATATTAATTCCACCTCTTCCCTGGCAGTCTGTTCCAATGCATTACCACTCTATCAAAGAATAAATTATTCCTAAAATCCAACCTGAACCTCCCCGGGTGCAACTTGAGGCCATTACCTCTTATTTAGGAAGCAAACATTGATGGATATGCATTTTCATTTCAACTTATGAGTGTTCTGTCAGTCTCTATTCATAAAATTCATGCTGTGTTAATTTCACCTTCATCAACATTGTTTTATACACCTATAGTTTATTCTAAGTCCATAATACTAAAGCTGTTTCTAACTCAATATTTTTCTTAAAAAATTGTAGTATCATTCAGATGTGGTGAATTTTTAATTTGAGCAGGTGTGCTTACTATCTTTTACTATTGAAAATGTATGTCAAGGGTCTTGCTTGGGATCCAAAATGATAAAAAAAAAACCAAAAATGTAAAATGGAAAGGAAATTTAAACTTTAGTGGAACCTCATAAATCTAGTTGACAACAATTTGGATTAAACACAAGCTATAAAGCATTATTTCAGACAAGCTTATCAGTGCATAAATACTAGAAGTGGTTAGCAGCGATTTTCTAAGTGAAAGCTTGAGCCCCTTAACTTTAATTTCTCTGAACTATCAGATATATTATAACTCTTTCAAAGTCCCCAGGTAGGTTAAATATGGGTGATGACAAAATAAAACAATTGAACAAGGGCAGTTTTGTTTTTAGTTAGGTTTTCCAAATCTTAATCATGGGGTTTTTCATTTCGTAAAACCAGAAATGAGGATGTAATCCTGTCTCAATGAAATTAATGAGAGTTCTACCATTGACGTCAGTGGACAGGTGTTTTGTTACTGGGAACCTTGTATCATTGATGGGCTTCCAAACCCAGTGGGTGCTGTTAAGTGAGAATTCAGTGAAGTAATCTCCATCTGGGACATGGATCCTTGCACCTAGCTCTGGCAGTCAGAACAAATGACTGAAAGAGGGGAAGCTGCAGTGTATCAGGCTAGATTTTTGTCATCTACTCAGTATGTTGATACGGGCAAAAGGCAAGATTCTTGAAAAATTAGATTTCTGTTCTTACCATTGCTATCAGCTGAGCCAGATATAACATGAGAGTGTAAGAACTGTGCGTAGAGATCAAAGTTTTCCCTAGTCCAGGGTCAGTAGAAAAATACGTAGAGAGAGACAGTGAGAAATAAGGCTTATTGATATGCCATCCAGACCTCCACAGGATAGCCATGCATTTTGTGAAAAAGCATTTTCTTTCATTTCCTATAAAACTGCTGTCAGATGATTTCTTTGCGTGTCCCCATCATTTTAGATGTAAAAAACAGTGAATAATCATGCTCCTTGCATCTTCTCCATAGCATTTATGATGCTGTGGACTTATATTATATTGTCCCTCTGACAGAGCTGAATGTCCTTTCATAGATTGTGTGTTCTAGTTATTGACCTGCCCATGAAAGGAAGCCATTCTATAATAATTTCTGCAGATCTTTTCTGTTCCTTTTGCTGTACACCCTTTTTCAGATGATATTTGCAGCGAGCATTAAAGGTGTGGGCATACCAAGGATTGAGACAGAGCACAGTGCTGTTTCCTGTTTTGTTCTCTTTTTCTTTTCTAATAATCTGTGTGTTCCACGTGCCCTTTCAGAGTGCCCACAAGAGCACAGAGGACTGAGCTGGTGGTAGCGGCACACCCTTACCCTGCTGTGGTGGGCAGGGGCCAGCCTGCTCATACCCATCTGATTTGCACACCCTTCAGTATCATCTGTGCTTTTGAGAGGGAGCAGGGGGGTGATAACAGAAATGTCAAAGCTGCAGGGCTGTGAAGATCTAGAAATATGTAATATTAAAATAATAAAGTTCCCAAATTGTGCATTTATAAAAAAATATAGGCCAATAAGATAGATGAAATGAGAAAAAAAGAAAAATAAATGGATGTGGATGATTGATTAACAGTTTGACAGCCACCAACAGATGGAATCCAGCAAATGGGGACCTGAAACAGTCAGCAGCTATGTTTGCCTCTGTGAAGTGATACCAGTTTTGCTAAGATTCTAGGCTTTTTTAGGGAATGTTTCTTTCTATCATGATCTTAGAATGTTTCATAAGTAAATCTACAGAAAGCTATGGTTGTGGAAAACAAATGAAACTTTCAGATGTATTTTTTACTGATACATGTTCATGCATTGATCAGTGTGTTTTTCTAAAGTAGAAGATGGGAAATCTGAAGTGCTTTACTTGTGCCAAGAGAACAGCTCTGTTAACTGAAATCATCTGTGAGGATCCACACTTTTCAGAAAACATTGAATATTCAGGACTTAATACTGGCAGTTGAACAAATGTCTTCCCTGAGCCAGGTGACTGTGAGCTGGACTAAAAGTTCCAAATTGCATTCAGTGATGCATTGCAGCAGTCACTATGGATTGAAATTGTCATCCATGATTCCATGCAATTCATTAGCAATGTAACTCTATGCCAAGACAAACCAGATGTCTGGTTTAGGTTGCTGTAAACAGGGTCTGCAAACCATCCTGTGGACATGGGAGGCTCATGTGAAGAGGGAAAATCAGCAGCCCAGTGGTGGGTCTGGCACCATGAAGATGAGAAGCATCTTTGAGTGTTTGCTAGTGTGAAGAGAAACATACGGAAACACATACAGAGTCTCTCCTGTGCCTTGACTTCTCTATCTGGACAGTACATCTGGGAAGCTGACATTCTCCTGTGCATGCATGCAGGGCGCAGTTATTTGAGGATCAGACAATTTTATGTCTTTCTGTAATTCTCCTGTGCTATACCAGGTTTCTGATATTTTTCCTGAGAACTTAATTCTTGGTGATGGGACGTTTGGAAAAAATGAAAATGAAGCCCATTGTCTAACTTAGGAAGAATCAAAAGCGGTTTATGTCTTGGCAAGTGAGAGAAGAGACTGGTTAAAATAATTGACAGAACATGGAGAAATTTTATTAGTCTAAAGATGCATCATGCGTGATGGGAAAAATGAGATAGGGCTCTGCAGGGTTCAGCAAATGCATTCTAGAAAAATTTGGCTAATGCATACTCTCTTCATAAAGTTCAGTGGACTCCTTCTGAACAGCATGAACTGTATGATCCCAGGGCCTGGGACAGTGGTTTATGGCACAAGCTCACTCACCTCATTGTCCTGGTGATTAATTTCGCTAAGATTTGACTGCTGCAGGAGCACGTTCAGAAGCCTGTGGAAGCAATGATATAATCAGTGTACAGAACTACTGACTAAACTTGAAATTTTGACGTCGTTTGGGAAAGAAGACATGCAATTTCAAGACAAAGCAGTCTTAGTGATGGCACAGGTCAGAGTCTTATGTCTAGGCTAGAAAAGCAGTTAAGACTTTATAGCATACTGTAACAACAGAAGTTTTGTGCTGGGAATCAAAAGCAACTAGGAAGTATTCTTATGTTGATTGTCAGGGTGAATGAAATATATTATACTAAATGTGTGCAATTTTTTTTAGAAATTCACCCTCATTGTATTTTATAAAGTTTTAAACAAGCAGAAATGTTAATGTTTACAAAAATGATTTGTAGTGCTCCTTAACTCTCAGAGTAACGCGATATTGTGTATGTGCTTGCGTGTGTTTGCATAGGTGCATACAAACTAACAGTTACACATGCACTAACCAATTGCATTTGCCAAGGTTTTACAGTATTTTTTCTGGGATAGGGCCATTGTCATGGTATAAAATACAGCAGTGCACTGGTTTGCTTTTATTATGGGATATCAGACTACAAACACTCCCCTCTGGTGGAGGGAACAGCTACAATAAAATACTCACTGAAATATTAAGTGCAATGATATTTTTAACACTGCAAAGGCTTTGCTTTTCCTCATGGCCTCCTATGAAGATGTTCAGAAATCCCTATAGTGTTAGAGAAGATGGTTATGTTTCATACTAGAACAAAAATTGTTTTGAGTAGATGAGTAGATGAGTAGATCACGGATGTGACATAGTCTGTAACAAAGCCAAATCACATGGATGATGTGGTAGATGCATCAGATGTTCTTCTGATCCTAGCAAAAGGAAAGGTACTTATATAGTGAATCCCTAAATAAGATTGTAATGCAAAAATGTGGCTCATCTGAAGGTGCAGGTTTGTAATAAACTTTCAAAACAGACTTTAAAATACTTTTTATTATATATATATATATATATATATATATATATATATAATTTATTTATTTATTTATTTTTAAGTACCACCTTGAAGTGGGAATTCTGATAAATGAACAGATAATGCACAGGTGAATGTATGCAACCATGCATTGATTTTCAGGCCTAGGATACTAAACAAAAATCTTCTGTTAATTTCATCAGGGCAAACTTTAACATCTTCCAGTACATTTTTCAGATTGAACTGTGTTCATCAGATCAATTTGAGAGTGTTGCATGAGAAATTATTTTTTTCTTTTCTCAGAAATAAAGAATCAGACATTATTCAAAAGAATTTACTGTTGCTTAGGGATGATTTGTCTGTTCTGCTGGGGAAAAATCTTAACTGTTTGTCAACTGTTTGTCCTTCAGCAGACAGGAAAGTCCAACTTTATTTTTTTCTAACTAGCATATCTCTAAATGGTGAAGACTGTATAGATCCCAGCACTTTGTCATCAAGGCCATCTACATACAAATGCATTCACTTGTAGTAAATGGGTGCTACACCTCCTTTTCTTAATCACACAGTGAATGAATGGTATTGTGGAGTCCAAATATGGAAACTGAAGAGAAGGAATTTTTATAATTGTTGTGATTAATTTGAAAAAAGTGAAGTGGTAAAACAGAAACATTTTATAGTCAATTGGCTCAGTGAAATCCAACCAGAATCTAAGATATTCACTATGTGAAAACAACTCGAAGTAAATGAGGGCTACTGAGCAAAGATAACATGGGATTACTGTAGTATGCTTGTAAAACACCTTTATCACAGTTTTGTGATCAGTAAGTTACATGGTTCTGTAGTTTAACCTCAGATATCTTCAGGGAAACCATTGTAGAGAAGGACATGTCACTCTTTGAGTGTAAAGCATCAACGACTCCTGTCTCTTTTATATTCTCTATAACAGCAGCACTAGCAGTCAATATGTAGATATTTGGCCATCCTAACTGAGATTTCTCTGTTACCTGTTCTAAAAGCTAGAGATCAGTAAGTTTATGGATTCCCTTTCCACCTTTTCTCTCATGTAGAACATGTATTGATGCAAGTGACTCCATTATCACATTAAGATGTAGAATCATTGAATTACAAGGTTGGAAGGGACTTACAAGATCATCTAGTCCAAACTAACTGATCACAGTCTCTGGCATTCTGTGTGGTTCATGCACTGGAAACACACAGCATTTCCTAACACACGCTACATGTGCCGTTTTGGTAATGACACAGCATTCAGGAGAATGACAATGGCCAGAATGGAAAACCTGGGCATGGGTAACCCCAGATGGCAAACAGTGTAAAAGAATTGAGCTGGTGACAAATTCCTATTTAGAGTAAAAGTCTTTCCGTGTCCATGAAGAATATGAAAAATGTTCAGGGAGTGCTGTGTGCTGCTGTTAATCTACAGCTGCGCCCTTTCGAGTAGCAGCATGGCAGAACTGTACAAATGCAGTTTTCAGTGGAAATATGATAATGCACTCATACTATTGCAGAAGCTTCGAACTGTTTCCTTGAAGTAATGCACAAAAAGTAGTGATGAATGTAGAAAATGAAAAAAGCTGTCGAAAGGACTGTGAAGTAAGATCAGCAGAAGTGCAGAGAGCTCTGGTCTGATATGGTTACAACAATAAAACCGTAGCCTCCATAATTAATTCACACTGATATTTTATATCTGCTAAATGTTTTACCTGTCGTCAATGCCCCCAGACATGACTTACTTAGGAAAGATTTTTGAATGAATTTATTCAAATGTACAAATCAAGACTCAAAAAACACTTCCTATCATCACAAATGAAAATGAGACGAAGGATCTTTCTTACAACTTCTGATGTACGCATGCTTTAGTTATTACACTACCATCAATAAAAGTAGTTAAAAATCACAGAATCATAGAATCATAGAATGGTTTGGGTTGGAAGAGACCTTTAAGATCATCTAGATTCACCCCCCCCCCCATAGGCAGGGACACCTGCCACTAGACCAGGTTGCTCAAAGCCCAATCCAGACTGGCCATGAATGCTTCCAAGGAGGAGGCATACACAACCCTCACAATAAAGAATTTCTCCCTAATATGTCATCTAAATCTGCCCTCTTCCAGTTTAAAATCAAGACGGTCCACCAAACCTCTGCTTCCCCTTTATGGGGCTCTCAGAGAGACTGTCATGTGGAGAACTTTTCACACACATGCTGTACTGCCTGGAGGAGACAGCCAGAAATGAAGCTTCTTGTAAAATTTCTCTTGGGAGGTGGAGAAGGGTTGAGGGAAACCTAGGATTTCAACTTCTGTTATGTATATATCTTTTTCTTGCTTTTGTGGCTTTGTATTGGTCTCCTCACCTTTCTTGGCTGTATCTGTTATGGAAGTATTGTGCAGTGCTTTTGCTTCTTTCTATCCTCTCCTCTTTATGATAGCCATTAAACAGAAGGGCGAGTCACAAGTGTAACTGTCAAGGCTAACATTATGACTTGGTCTCTCCTTTGGACTGTGTAGCTGAATTGAGGACTACCTGCTGAGATTCAATCAGCAAAAGCTGCAGGATCCTCAGACATACCTCACGTCGGGCTCTGCAGTAGCAGCGTGTAGTGGCAGCCTCCCATTTTTATCAGGTATGTTTTGCTTAGCACCATTTCTGAGCAGGCTGACACAGCCTTCCAACCAGCCCTAAAAAAGAAATTGTAGTATGTCAAAGGGGAAAGTAAAATACACCAGGCCAGGTCTTTGCTTGGTGGTTCTGGCTTTGGCATGTCACTGGCTGCTTCAGCCAGCTGAGGAAATGGTCTTTGGTTTCTCCAACATTGGTCTCAGCACTGAGAATTTTTCCCTCTGTAGTCTGTTTCAGACTAATTCATCCATTAGAACAAAGTTTTATTTACACCACATTCTTATTTTTTCTGCATCTGTGGCAAGCACTGAATGTGTAAACAGTCATTAAAAACCTTCTTATTCCTGTAAACCTAACAAATGCTATGCATATTCCTGCATGTGAATTGAAGTATACTATGTTAAAACAGGAACATGAACACTTAATCTGATTTCTTTTATGGTATTTTAGCAGGGATATCAAATCAATACTAATACGCCTTAGAATGTAGCCTTATAAGCATTGTTGCAGAAGTTTGAATTAGCGACAGTGTTTGACTGAAAACAGCACCAAACCAGATGGGATGAATCAGTTCTTGGACTAAAACCTTGTATTGATCACCTCAAGAAAACAACAAATAAACAATCTGGTTGTGATTGCATAAATCTTTCAGTTCCAGGAAATGTTCCAGGAAAAATGAGTGGGTGTTTATTTTCTTCAAACCTCTGCAAGCAATCAATAAAGACCATTCCCTTCAGTATGATCTATGTTGGATCAGCATTACCAGCATTTATAGAGAAAAAGAATGATGGAGTCGAAACATATCTGTTGTGGTTCTTGATGGAAGTATGACACTACCAAATTCTGCATGGGATTGTGAGCACAGAGCTCTGCTGAATTCGGTTCTCTGGACAGACATCACAGCCAAATGCTCTCAAGACCTCTGATTATATCCATCACAGAAACAGAAATGGAAACTTTGAAGCTTGGGTGGCTTAAATCCTTTCCAGTCATTTCTTTTTCTTCCCAAAGAATATTTTTCCCCTGTGGGAAAAGAGGGAGGAAAAAAGGAGCATGATACTAATTACGGGATTTTTTTTTTAAGTATCTGGCAGAGGAAATGTTTGTGCTGAAGTAAGTGGGACATGCTCCTTGCACTGAATGAAATGGTCTGTTTTGCTACTTTCTACACATATTTTCTGGCTGAACATCTAATAGCTGAGGAGAAGCATTGTTTTCATACTGATTTGCAGGAAGAAACTAGAAGCAAGGGATGTGATTTAATTAAGCTGTCACTATTTCTGCTCAAAAGTACTGGCATTTATCCAGCCTTTGGTCAACCCCTCTGACCAACTTATGTGGTCCCCTCTCCATGCATCCTGAACTCCTTCCAGTGTGGAGCAGAAGAGCAAGAGAAGAGGACAATAATTGCATGCTTCAGATGGGGAGCACCAGAGCAACACATCTCCCTTCCCCAACTTCTTCATGGGATGTCTTCCTCTACTGTTGCTTGCAAGTGGGTTAATTGGGAGATTGGGTCACTTAAGATTGGCACTGACACCTGCAGCACCTCGCATCTGGCCATTCCAGGTCCAGCTCTATAGTGAAGGGAAAAGCAGTGCTCAGGTGTACAGGTTAACATGCCAGCTGGCCACCCAGAGTTGAGACAGAAATGCGCTCCCTGCTGAACAGTAAAAATCTGATACTGAGAGGGAGAGGGGAGAAGTTAATCTGGCTATAAAGACAGGAGGGAACATCAAGCTCTTTTCCAGTGCGCAGGAAGTTACTGGCTTTTCTGAAACCACACAGAGGACCCTGGATGTAGTGAGATTCCCACGGCACATGCTGATTTTGCAACCAAAAGATGAAGGACACTCTGAAAGGAGTTCTGATCCTTTTCTGAGAATCTTACAGAGTTCCCAGCTTTGCATTATTGTAAACTTTACATTTTCACTGCTATCTAGAAACAAATCATAGAATCATGGAATCACCAACATGGAAAAGATCTCTAAGATCATCCAGCCCGACCATCCACACATCACCAATATTTCCCACTAAAATTTGTAGTCCTTTTTTTTCTACAAATGGAAATCTTATTTGCTCTATCCATTTCTTCCTCCACCCCCCAGTCCTGATACCAGATAAGTTGCCAGAGATAAACTGGTACGTCCACATGCATCTTGTGTGTTAATATTGGCTCCCATCTTCAGTAAAAGCTTCACTGTATCGACCTGGCGCCCTGACACAGCATGCATCAGAGGTGTGCAACCTGGGGAAGAAAGTCAAATCAAGAACGACAGAATTGCAGGGGTTGGCTATACTTTTACAATTTTTATTTAGTCAAAGCCATAAGATAGAGACATTTCTTTATTTGCTGAGGCTAGCACTGGCAAACTAACAAGCCTTTTCTCTCACGACTGTTCAACAGCTGTACTCAGATTTTTGCAGGCAGGCGGTAACTCGGCAGATCACCACTGATTACAAAAAATAGCATAGCGAAAACACTGCCTCATTAACTCTGCATCTGGAGAGAATATTCATTTTCTACTCTCAGGATTCCTGCATGAACTATTGGCTTCAGACACTGAAAGCTGATATCCGTCAGAGTGAATAGTCACCAGGTCATGCTTGGCTAATTTTTTCAAATCCAGCTTCATCCTGTGCTCCTGTGTTCAAAAAATATATGAAATCAAACCCTGTTTCATGCAAAGATGTATGTGTTTGCGATGATTTTTTAACAACTTATTTTAATGACTGGATTTGCCCTGGGATAATTTTCTCTTGGTGAGAACTCATTTTATATTCAGCAAACCACTTCTGTGCTGGAAAAAGACTGAAATCCACCTTCAGACTTATGCAGATTTTTCTTAATGCTTAGTGTTAGGATATTACTTAATTGCTTTCCCTTCCTTCCATTCTTTTAACTGCTGAATAACAGCAAAGACTTTCCTGCAGAATCTGACAGAGCAATTTCAAATTACTAAGCTGGGAATAAACCTAAATGTTAGAAACCATAACATGTAACCAGGCACAAATGAAGAATAATGATTCTTTCTGAATTCACTGAGACTCCTGAGCAAATATACACTGCTCAAGATAAAGTTATGCCATATCTGCAGGATACGGACACATGTTTTGTCTTGCAAGACTGATTTAATTACATTTGCATGTACAAACCAGAAAACAAGATTATTCTGGAGCTGAAATGCTCCCCTTTGCTGATCAGTCTGCCTCCACTCACTGCCCTTCATATTGGCAAGGATTAGAATATACAGGGTTAATCTCAACCCTTTGAAAGAAGTTGCAGTAAAATTTTTTTGAATAAACAAGGACTTCCTTGAGAGAAGCTTCCATAGATCTGTAGCTTTAAATCACATGGGAAATAAATGCATGTAAAAATCAACCCCAGGAGAGTGCTTTGTAGGAACATTACATAGTAAACCAAGCAAAAAGGAAAAGGAGTGCAGTCTCATGGGTTATTTAGACCATCACACATTGCATGGTTTGCCTATGGGCAAAGAACCACAAAGCAAAATATTGTATTTTTTGGTGTGTGTCTGTGCACATGCTATTGAAGTGCAAATTACTGGAACCCTCTGTTCTAAGGATGTGTGGAATGTATAGCATTTGGCTTTGATAAAAACTCTGTAATGACAGATATTTCTCAGCATCTTCTTAATGGAGATAAAATAGCTTCTTGTTAATGTTCTGATTATAACAAAACAGCTTATTTCTATCCGATCGTGCAAACACAGGATAAAGTAGTATCTGGATTATACATTTCTAGGGGATGTTCCAAAGAATAACACAAGTTTCTCATATCCTGCTACTAAATATAATTTTCCAAGCACGAGAATCAGGACTTAAAATGGAAAATTTAATGGCAATCCAAAGCAGGGATTCCCCCGAGAAAAAGCTCAGCCTCGTTTACCCTCACTGTCGCAGCACTCCAGGATGGAGGGATCTTCTCGAATGACTGCAGTCAGTGTGTTCACATCACCGTTAGCTGCCGCCTGGTAAACCACAGTCAAGTCAGCCTCTTCTGCTGCATCACCTACAGGGAGGAGTGTGCCCATGAGTAAGCTGGGAGCAAGTACAAATGATTAACAGTGAAAATAACAACACATTTCACTGAAATGGTATGACTGTATAACCTGAGATGGAACAAAGTGTATCCAAAGAGCACTGTGGCTTTTATTAGTCATTTCAAACTTTCTTCATCGTTTGCTTCCTCCAAAAACTGTTGGATGTAAACGTTGAAATGGCATAACAAAACTTCTTTAAAGTTTCCACTTCTCATAAGAAATCAAAAGAACATTAATGGAACATGACTTGAGAAATAGTGAAGTAAGAACTGAACTGGCTCATCTTGTGCTTGACTGCACTTACATGAGAGAGCTTGATATCGAAACACAGGTGTTCTCAGCTCCTGTGCTGTCCTTGCAGCCCTCTAAAGATGGAGGATTTATCCCTCTCTCTGAGGTGTTTGGGGGATGCTCTCTGCATGGGAATGCACCTCCAGCAGCTCTGTTTTGTGTTAACAATGCCTGTGCAAAGGAAAGTTGACTCTTCTTGGAACCCAGGACTAAGGTATATTTCTTCTACGGTAAAGAGTACATTTCTGTTTGCTCTGAAACTTTACTTGCATGGATAGAGGGAAACTAAATAATATAAAACTCTGTTAGAACTCATCCCCATTAACCTTGCATTAATTATTTACACTAACTATAATAGCTAATTCTAGCTATATAATAACTGGCTATGAACTTCGAACATAAAAATGCTCCATTTCAGTTTTGGTTTGAAAAGTTTTCCTGTGTTTCAGAATAATGATGTTGGATTTGATTTCACAGGCTGGCACTGTCAGGCTGAAGAGCATTTCTCAGCCTGTCCCTGGACTTCAGTGAGCCCAAGCTCATCTCTCTGAGTGCTGTGTCCAATGAGGAGAGCCACAGTCCTGCCGCAGAACCAGTCAAGAGCTGGCTAAAGAATGCATTCAAATGAATTTTTCATAGAAAGTATCTCATCAATGAGACTGTCATTAATGTGCTGGAAGGGCACAGTTCTGCACATTTTCTACTAGTGATGGCAGAGCAATACTGCCGGACAGCTGCAGCTGATAAAAAAAGCCCCAAACCCCATATTCTGAATGATATCTCTTAGACAAAGTGCTATAAAACCATCTTACTCCTCAGCTTCTGAGATTTCAGGGCAAACATAAAACAAAAAGCAGAGCTGCTTGAAATTATGAAGGCTGTGCCAAAAGGAAACACATCCTGTTAAAAATGAGGAGTGATGCAAAGCCACATGCAGTCTTCCAATGCCCTCAGTGAATCTGTGCCTACGTGGCATTTTCTCAGTCCTCTACACTTACATAGGACTACAGCTACCTGCATGAGAGAAGAATGAAATGGCAGAAAGGCACAGTTCCATGATGGAATACATATATATATATATGTGCATGAAAATGTCATTGGTATTTCATGAGATTGTGAACTGATACTAAAAAAAGGGTTTCTATTTTCAGACATAGGTATTGACCATGTGTTAATATGTATTTAAGTGTCTATCCAAATATAATATTCACAAACATGAAGATAGCTGTTGTGAGGTAAATTTTCAAAGAAGGCAAGAGAAGGAAAATCCCTAATCTGACTGTGAGGCATAGAGTGAGAGAGGTCTGGGGAAAGCCTGAATGCTTGATGTAAGCAAAATCAGTTTCAGAGGCACGGGAAACTAAACACATCCCTCACTTAGATGGTTAACTTATGGAGAAATGATGTTCTGGCCTGTTTTAGAGTCTTTCCTAGGCATTCAGCAATCAATGGCATTCAGTGACAATCTGTGACGATCAATGACATAAGTTCTAATTTTTCTTGTTAGAGTAGGTTACTAACTTATGTTTTTATGTCTATTTCTTGCTTTTATTTGGCATTTTATAATTTAGAAGCATTTATTAGAAGTCAAAATAATTAGCTGCCAACTCTTAGTAATACTTTCTTGGTTGTGATTGGGATTCTGTGCTTTTCAACTCTGTGAGTTGTGCAAGTACGACCAATGTGGAGCAGCATGTTGCCTTCATTATCTTGTAGAGATCCCTGAGTTGAAACTGTACTATTCTTATGACTTTCCACCCAGTGAATTTAAAAAACACGTAATTATTTTATATGGCCCTCTCAATGGAAGGGCAAACTTCACAAGCCTGTTTTAGTCCTGGATTCCAAGCAATCTTTCCTCTTGACAGATAATGTTAACACAACAGATTTTTGTTTCCAGAGGAGTGAGTGAGATGACTTGTTGTGGTGGCAGACTCTTTTGATCGTAACTTCCTTCCAGGATGCACTTCCCATGCTCCATATGCCTTTTGGCTTCAGGTGGGCTTTCAGCCTCTTAAATCTAGCAGTCAAACGAGTTGATTTATTTTGTTTAAATCTGATGTTACGATAAAATGCTCTAGTGTGCACTGTTGGTCGGCTACCGTCTCATCTTTAATTTTGAAAAGAGGAGTTTCTGATCCCTGCTGACTCAAAGAGAAGTACATCTGCAGTGAGCTGTACCATTCACCATGGCCACGGGCCAGAGCTACTGAGCAGAACCATTGCCCTGCTGCTGTGCTGCTGTGTTCGCAGAAGTAAAGCTAGTATCTAAATAACACCACAGGGTCAAACAAAGGAAAGACAGGTTAAAGTGACTTTTCCTTATGCTTGTGTTTTCTGGAAATAAGAATCTGTGAGTTGTTCAGAAAAAAAGTAGGTGTTTTAAAGAGAATTTAAAGAGTTGATAAAAAAGTCTCTTTCATAATCAGTGTTAATATTAGCACATTAATATAATTTATATTAATTTTTTTATGTATCTTTTTGAGTGGTAAAAGATCCTTAAAGTTGATTTTAAAATACTTGCCTCCCTATTCATATGCAGAAAGGGAACCTGCTTTAACTCCACACTGGGCTTTGTGTAGTCACCCACAGACGGCCTTCTCTCCCTGTGACAAAATCATCACCCTCTGCTGTAAAACTTGGCTGCCAGGGAAATGCAATCGGCTTTTACCCTGGAAAAGGTTGGTTTGTCAGATCTGGAGCCCTGGATGGGAACGTGGGAAAACTGGAGAGCTGATAATAGATCTGTTTTCAGCAGTGCTCAGATTCCTATTTCCTCTCCACCCCACTAATACAAATTTCCTTTTTCCTCTCCTGACTTCTCTTTCAACTTACACATTTGATACAAGTTTTAATTTCTACTCTGCTGGAGATTCTGCCATTCATAGAACTAGACATTTCTCCCAGGAACTCTGACCCGTGTGCTGCTGAGACAGATCCAAAACAAGAAGTGAGTTGCGCAGTGGGCTAGATGGAAAGCAAGGAACAAGGCAGAGAATAATCACAGGTATTGTTCCTTTTGGCCACCTTTCAGAGTTACCCAGGAGGTGCCATGAGCAGTGGCACAGTGCCTCTGACAGCTGCATCTGATGGCTGATGTATGAGAGAGGTATAGAGAAGCTGGTGTAGAGGAAGAAATCAGGTATAGACTGTGTAACAGAGTGGCCGTCACCTCCATGATTCATGTAAATTTTAAACTTTTTGCTATTTAGAATCATTGAATCATTAAGGCTGGAAAAGATCTCTAGGATTATCAAGTCCAACCATCAATGCATCCCTGTGCCCACTAGCCATGTCTCTCAGTGCCACTTTAATATGTTTCTTGAGTACCTTGTAAGTTCTGTTTTCCTACTGTGAGTCAGCAGCAGAGTAATCCAGTCAGATGAGGAAATTCTTTATCTCCTGAGCAGAACAGTTGCTTACCTGAAGGGCAAACTGGCAGGAAGATGAAGGCATGGAAACAAATCTGAATCTGGGACAGATTCCCTCTGCCCTTTTTGATTCAAGTGCCTTCTCCCCTGTGCCTTTGCTTTCCTCTGAGCAATTGTTCTCCCATGCGGAGAGAGGGTGCAAAGCTGAATGAATGATGGATGACTGAATAAGTCTTCCCTGCTCCTGTCCTTGCAGAACATGAACGTCAGTTCTGCTAGGGAACAGTGACATGAAGCCAAGATGAGGTTTTGCCCTTCTCCATCAGAAGACCTAGCTGTCAGAGCAGTGAGGTGCATGGACATGCTATTCCCCTGCTGGCAGGGGACACTGGGCCAGCAGAAACTAAAGAGAACTGTGAGGTGCATCTGGCATAAGAATGGGCAGACACTAATTCCAGTTCTGGAGCATGACCAAAGACGGAGATGGAGTCTCTCTAACACAACCGATGTGGCTCTGGTGGGGAAAGGAGGGTAAATGGTTATGTGGTCTTCTGATGCTTCCTGTGGCAGGGAGTAGGGAATTCCAAGAGGTCCTGGGTGTCATTCACCAGGCAGCACCAGGCTGCAAGTGATGTAGTCTCCTGTTCCATCCTCCTTCAGTTTACCCCTCCCAGGAGTGAGGGGCTGGGGCCTCTCCTCCATCTGCAAACGTGTTAGCTATCCTTCTTCTGTGTTTTTCTGCACTGTAAATGCCAAGGAGAACTTCTGCTGTTTTATGTACATGATATTTTGGAAAATATTGTGCCATTCATGAAAGTGATCTTTAGGAAGGCAGGAAGTCCACCTCACAGCCTGTATGTGGAGCAAGGGTAAGAAAAACAGCTGTGAAGCTTTCTTTCATAGCTAAAATTCTCAGAAAGAATCACAGCTAAAAGCCAACCTACTTGAAATGAGCTGCAGTATATTAAAAACGTGTCATTTGTCCCAAGTACAATAAAAGCCTTTTGGTCTGAAAGGAGGTACATAAAGAAACATACAGAAATATCACAGGATTCACAGCAATGAAAGTATACTCAATTAACACTCATCTGACTTTCATGTGAGGAGATTATGCTTTACACAATTCGTGATGTTGGCTGAACTGTTATTTTACAAAGTGGCTGTTAGGTCTACGTAAGTGCCTGTTTCCTACTGCATTGGATTTGTAAGATCCAAATAATGTCACTGCATGTTAGCTGACTATACACAGACTTGACAATAATGGATTCAGACCCTGATAAAATTCATGGGCTTTTAGAGCTGAAAGCTGAATGACAGAATAATTTGTGTTCACCAGGAAGAAGAAATATTTATACATACAATTTTCTGCCCTCTTTCAGTAAGTGAACATACTGTATTCCCACCCCGCACCCAGTAGCCAAGTGCTGTGTATGATTTCCCACTGCTTATCAGCAGATGCTGACAGTTGTGTGATTTCACCAAGAAGATGCTGCTTACTTTCACCAAAACACAATGAATCCCCGACAGCAACTGAAGTGCGACAATGCAGTCTCACTTTGCTGCAGTTTACCATTACAAACAAAGGTCTGCATCCACTGAACATCCTCTTCTCCCCATTCTCTGATGTTTTAAATAATACAGCCACTCTGGCTGTACTGGGGTAATCTGTGTGAACATTGGTGGACCCCTCCTGGGCTTGGCACATGGGTGGGTGAGTGCAGATGTTGGAAACCATAACTCAGACTATAATAATAAAGATTCATTGACTGTTCTGTGTATACCTGGCTATGAATGTGACCATCCAGACCTTTTCCTGATTCCTTTGTTTAATTGTTAAATGTCTCAAGCCAGGTACAGCACCTGAATGGCACCAAGCTGTATGGACAGGAGGGGAAAGGCTTGGCTTCTGGAACTCTCACTCTGCTACCACTGTTGCTCTTCATAAATAAAATAAGCTTCAGATGAGTGATTTCAAAAGAATTGTTGCAGAGACAGTGTGATTTTCTTTCTTCACCTATTGTTGGAGGAATTTTCTGATGGGATTGAGATGGGATTGTAGGGGAAGATATATCAGACTGATGGATGTTGATCGGTGTGTTTAATACATGGTCTGCAATTCTGTCATTCTTAGAAATCGCTCCAAAGAGTAACAATGTTTCTGCTCCTTGCAAAAAACTCTTCATTAAATTGGTAATATGTCAGGGGCACTCAATGCTATTTAGTTAAATCCACCACACGCTTTGAACAGAGCTGTCTTTGCGGGTGGGTTCAGTGTCCCTTACGGCGTGCTGCTCCTGCTCGCCCGCGTTCCACGCAGCCGGCAGGAGGGCGGGCAGCGAGGCAGCTCGGAGAGCCGGCAGTCCCGCGGCCGTGCGGCTGGGGGGCAGCGCCGGAGGGCGCCGTTTGCTGGGAAGATGCTGCACGAGCAGCGGAAGGTGGAGCTGGGAGATGGTGCTGTACGGGAATAGTGATAGGATCAGCTGGGAAAATGTCCCAGCGAGAGGACAGCAGCAGAGAAGGAGTCAGGAAGGAACTGTCAGGTATTGCCCCCCGCTCTCTCAATTGTATCCAGATAAGGCGGTTTGGAACAGTGGTCTACTTCACTGCTGTCTGCTCCCGAGCCCTGTCTGCTCCTTCTGCAACCCTGCTTACACTCCATCCTCC